GCACGAGGGCTGGGATACTGCCAGGTTGCCCAAGCCTAGACAGGGGAAGTCGGGTGGCGGAGGTCGGATTCGAACCAAAGGACCTTCGGTCAGTAAATTCGCGCTCTAACCACTTGGGCCATCTCGTCCGTTAACACTAACTTGTTTTGCTTCGGCCCTTGAGGCCCTCACGTGGTTCTTGAACACTGTAACAGCCAGTCACTGGTCACTCCACTGTCCACAGGTGACTATTCAAAAAACCGCCCTTACCTGGTAGCCCTGTAATTGCAGTCGCATAGGACATAGGTTTTGCAGTATATTAAGTACGGCGTTCCGTTCCGTTCAGTTTGTCAGCCATAAACCATGATGGGAAGTGTTTGAGACATGTACTACGCATACCAGAGAACTACCTACCAGCTAGGGCTCTTCTCATACAATTCTGCGCTACGTGGAAGTGACAGGCATCAAAGTGTAAAAGCTAACTAGTAGACTCAGTCGGACCGAAAACTGCTGCCTTCCTGGACAGTGGCCCCAAGACCAAACTCGCCAATGATTAATGACACTGGAGGGTGAACTGGTCACGATCATCCACGATTTGACCCGCTTCGGACCTCAGCGACTGTAGTTCAGTTTGTCATCCACGATTTGACCCGCTTCGGACCTCAGCGACTGTAAATAATATGCTTTCCTGAGTCTTCGATGGAGCTCCTGCGCCGCTGTTTTCTGCACTATGGATAAGGCAGCATTCGCAGGTTCTACGTTTAGATTTCTTTATTGAATTGCACTCATTCCCGATGTATGTAAACCTAGAGTAACCTACTAGTGTTCTTTAGGTGTTCCACAATTTGTATCCAGTACGTAGACGAGATTGCAATTATTTATCCATCCAAGGTGCGCAAGTGGTTACCACGATTGCTTCAAAACAAAAGGTCAACAGGTTCACAGATTCTCTTGAAAATAACATCAAACAATAATGACAAATGCTTCCTTTGGTAACTTTAGTAAGGCAGTAGCCGATATTACCGCACAGTTGGTACTCTCACGTTAGGTAGTAATATCCCCATATCCTCCATATCCAAGTAGCCTCGCGCGAGTTACACGCTTCAGCTGGATATCATGGGCTCCAGAAATCCCAAGTAATGCAGGTTATCCACAGCCCCAGGGAACAGTAGGTCGAGACAGGATTGCCGCTGTCCCCGAAGACATCAGTTCGATGTGCCGACTCCCTTTAGCCACTAGGAAGAGCATGTTCTCAAAAATATTGACAGTTCGGTCATTTAGCAGCCTATTTCAGGCTATGTTTGGCAGAGTAGTATACCACGGTTTCCGAATAGACTCTTGAAACCGTCCGATTCAGCTGTTCTTGAGAGTATGACTCGTGGAGGAAGTCCAAAAGTAAGCTGGTCGATTCTGGAGGGACGGTGCGACAGTTAACCATCTCGGGTGGAGTGTCAAGGTCGGTGTACTCGTAGTTTGCGATCGATCAATGGCGCCTTCTAATACGAGATCACGCCCCTTCTTGTCCTTGGGTTCGATCGTAGCAGCAGCAGTGCTGCTTCCAAGTCCATGGTCTCATCCTTCATACGTGTCTCCGTTAACCCAAAATCTGGTAGAAAAGTGACCCAAAACTCCGACTCACTCCGCTTCCCAAGCAAATTATTCACATTGGCGCGTGTAACCTCTATAGGTCGGGTTTTCCAGGCCGTGTGCAAGCCTCTCCCTTGACACACGAAGATACCGCATCCAAAGATCTGTTTCTCCAGAGTTTGACATTACCTTCGATATCTCCACTGCATTACGATGCTTCTCACGGCGCTCAAGCATGAGGTCTAGGTAGGGGGTCTACTGCATATTTTGAAGTCTGTCATTTCGTGGAGGCATAAGGAAAGCCTCAATCACAGGATTACTTTCAGTGGTTTCAGTCTTCTTCCAGATGCAAGTTGGCTCCAGGTTTGGTTTCATTCAGCAAACTGTTGATTATCACCCCTAGCTCTTCCACGATTGCATCGTATCGTTCCTCTGAGGTATATCTATCAAATCCAGGCAAGCGGAAAACCACAACACAACTGGCTCTAGAAGATGTGTCCTTATTTGGCGTCGATCCTGTTTATTTTTATGTAAACGACAGATCATTCGGCTATCTGGAACTGGGGCCAGCGGTTGGCAGGCGAGTGAAATGTAGGTGCTAGAAGACGCAATCTTCGTATCTTTTCCGTTATACTGGTTGACCCTCGCAGAGACCAATCCGTACGAAAAACCAAATTTCGCGGATACTTATAAATGCGCACCCTTCGGCGCATCACATAAAAGTGTTATATCTGCCGATCGACTGATAACCCAGTGCCTAGTGCCGGAGAAGACTTACAGAAGGGAACACAACAGCTATATTCCGAGTGCGAAAATACAACGGCCTCAAGCTATTTATTGGAGGGACACTGTCTTAAGTTGGTCCAATGCTTACGCACGCGGTCTGGCTTTCATACAAGGCTGTGAAGCGCTGCATATTGAGGGGGCGTTGTCTGTCTCGTCAGTATCTAGCGGAGCTGAGAGTCTCAATAGATTTCGAGCATTCAGTGTCCGCTTTCAGGAATCTGACCTTCCTGATAAAAATTGACGATTAATCACTGTAGTCATTGTAGTTCACCGTAGAATGGACAATACTAAAGACGGTGAGGAAAATCAAGGTTTGAAAGAGCAGACCATCCAGGTGGTGTGGTAAGTAAACTGTTCAACTGTCTTCATGAAGTTGATGCAACAAGGCGTGTAGGATTATGCACCCGAACGTGCACCACCACACAGACCAAAGTTCACTAAGCCACGGTTTCTGTACCCTGACGTTAATTCAAGACCTTGTTATTTCCTCTTTCACAGCAGGCCGGCGTGGTCGGTGACACGCCCTTTAGCGAGGAGAATATTACGCGCTTATTGTGCTTCCTTGGTTCTTGGTGTTACCTGGGTGTTGTACTTCTCCTGCAACCACGTTGGTCCGGGAAATCACTTCACTTCCGAAAACCCCCATTTGGAATGGTTGAAGCCCTTGTATCTTTAAGAATCTAAGACAGTGCAGATGTATCTCCACGACCACGGTCCTGGGTATTTCCAGGCACTGTAGAGCTTCCTAAGTGCTCCCGAGTGAAAAACATATTTCATAGCTTTATCCAACCACAAATGAAAAATGCCCAGCCAACGCAATGAACCAAGCTGACAGTCCTTTAGGACCAACGGGGACGGGAAGCTACTAGATGTCCCAAAGTCCCCTCTCACACCGAACAACCAGAAGCCCGTTTCTTCCACGCATTTTTTATGCAGTTGTATGCAACAAGAACTTAAATATTTTTTCCGAAAGTAAAAATCCTGTTGTCTACCGGTGCCTTCTGAGATTTCCAAAATTCATTAAATTTTCCACGCAGACGAAAACCCAGACGCGCGCGCCGTCAAGGTCATGCATTCACGTATTTCATTGATTTCACGGATTCACGGATTGATACACTTCGACCCAGGATCACAGGGACGGTTTGTCCTTGTCATTCAGCGGTATCCGTTCACCCGAAGTGCGAAAGTGAGAAAGAGAGTGTATCATTACTCTTTAAGTTGTCAGCACAGGGGCAGTCAGCTTACAACTTCTAGGACACCAGCAAACATCGCAATTTTCTTCCAAGTGTTTCACGGATTCACGGATTGATACACAGGATCGAGGCTTTTGCCCAAGTTTCCTGGGTCGGTTTTGTTATTGTCAGTCAGTGGCTGTCGTTCACCTGAAAGGCACAAGTGAAAAAAGGGTGTAGCACTGCTCTTTATGTTCTCAGCGCGGGGCAGTAT